GTTAAGACAACCTATTCTGTATGCTTTTAATCTTTTGAAATGCATTGAGTTTTTGTTGTTGTTGTTGGGTTTTGTGTGTGTGTGTGTTTTGTTTGTTTGTTTGTGGTTTAGCCTAGTGTGCAGGCATAGTATTTCCTGGTGGATGCTACGTGGGTATTTAAATTTAAAAATTGTGGTGATGGGTACAGTATTTTTTAGCTGCATGTGAAGTTACATAATGGTTTGTTTAAATCATCTTATCTTTAATTTGTTTTCAAATGATATAAAATCACTTAATATCTAATATACTTTCAGTAACAGAGCTATCCAGTTTTAGCTACTTCATAATCATGCATACTGAATTTTGATCCATTTATCCTATCAACTACTGAGAATAGGTTCTTAAATTCTCTAAATAATTGTGTATTTGTCTATTTCTTCCTCTAGTTCTGTCAGTTTTTGCTTTATTCTTTTATTAGGCACATACACTTAAAATTGTTATAACATTTTTAGATCTTGAGTCTGTTATAATTATAAAACATCTCTCGTTATCCCTGTAATATTGCTTGTGTTGAATTTTACTTTGCCTGATATTAATATAGCCAAACTGCTTCCATATGCTTACTGTTTACATGTACATGTTTTTTTGTCCTTTCATTTTAAATTATCTATCTCCTTATACTTAAAATGCATCTCATATGCAGTAAGGCTGACCAAACTATGACGCCCAGGCTACTGCCTCATTTTGTAAATAAATGTATATGGGACCACAGTCGTGCCCATTTATTTACATATCGTCTGAGTTGTTTCACACTATACTGCCAGAGTTGAAATGTTGGAACAAAAACCATAAGGTCTGCAAGCCTAAAATATTTACTATCTGGACCTTTCAAAAAAATTTAACCTCTGCTATAGAGCATTTAGTTTTCTTGCATAGTGCAGTCTGATTATCTAACTTTTAATTGGAGAATTTAGCCAAGTCACATTTGACTTAATTATCGATATTGTTACGTTTGAGACTACCATCTCTCTATTTGTTTTCTAGTTGTCTTCTGTTCCTCTTTTCTTGCTTTGGAGTTTCTCAAATAAGATTTAATATTACGTTTTAATTTCTCTGCTGGCTTTTTAACTATACCTCTCTGTATTCTTTTATTGTGGTTACTCTAGGTATTACAATAGGAACTCTTAATTTATAACATCTATTTCTGTAATAATCTAAAATCTTTGAACCATTATAATTTCATTTAACCTCCTCCATAGACTTGTAGCGTGAGTTTTATAATATATGCAGTTGTAGTGGATAGGCAACAATAGCAAAAAGGATAGAGGAAGTTAAATTAAATAATATTTCAAGGGTCTTATATATAATGCTATATAGAGAGCATTAAATGGTTATCTTTGTAAAACTTTTTTAAAATAGTATTTATATTTTACTTTGTAAACATAATCTGTATTCATTCTTTCTTATACACCAGAATTTTCATCTGGTGTCATTGCCCTTCAACCAAAGAATTTCCTTTAATACTTCTCTTAGCACTGGTTTGCTAGTGATGATTTCTCTCAGTTTTTTTTTTCATTAAATGTAATATGTCTTTATTTTGCCTTTAATTAAAAGGTCTTTTTATTGGATATAAATTCTGATTTGAGAGATTTTTCTTTAAGCATTTTCAAGATGTTTAATTATCTTTGGTATGCATTTTTTCCTGATTAGACATCAGTTATTATTCATGACATTGTTCTCCGGAACGAATATTCTGTGGTTACTTTCACATCCTTCTCTTTTATATGCTTTTTATTAGTTTTATTATGATGTACTTAAGTGTGTTTTTCTTTTTATTATTCCTGCTTGGAAGTTGCTGAGAATTTTGGATATGCAAGTGAATGCAGATCAACAAACCTGGGAATATTTTTATTGTTTCTTCAAATATATTTTCTGGCCCGTTCTCTTTTGCTTCTCCTACTTAGATTCCAAGTACACGTACATCAGACTGCTCAATATTGCCCCACAGCTCACTGAGTTTCTGCTTTTTTCCCTATCATCTTTATCATTTTTAGAATGTATAATTTATGTTTTTGTCCTTAAGTTCACTGGGGCTTTCTTCTGCCATCTCTAATCTGATGATAAGACAATTTAGTGAATTGTTCATTTCCAATATTGTAGTTTTAAGCTGGAGAATTATTTATCTTTACATTTTTTTGGTGCTGAAATTTCCATCTGTTCTCTCATTGTTACCATATTTCTCTAAGTCTTCAAACATGTGATGTAATAACTGATTTAAAGTTCTTGCCTGCTATTGCCAAAGTCTGTGTCATCCAAGGACATTTTCTGGAATTTGTGTTACATTTTTCTATTCTTCATATATATGGTAGCTTTTTTATTATATACTAGTCTTTCGGGGGGTGATATGTTATAAAAATTCTAGTCTCTGTTATAGTCTTCTAAAGGACATAGGTTGTTTTTCCTAGCAAGGAATTATATCACTGGCTGATTTTCTTAAGCTCGTGAAGGTTACGTTTACACTTTATGTGGCACATCTGTCTTAGTGTGAGTGCTGAATATCGACCCATTGTCTTTACTTGGTTTTTCTGGGATTTTAATAGAAAGATATATCTTTGTTAAGGACTTCTGTCTTGGTGACCTTAACTTCAGACCGTTTCCCTGCGTGGGTAGTAGCTAAAATCTATATCAAGTTTTTAGGCTTTCCAGCTGTTGCTTTCTGCTGGCCTATGTGAAATTTTGCCCACCTATGTGCAGTTTAGGAGTCATCCAAGGAAGTTATTGTGTTTTACAAATTAGTGTGGCTTTCTTCTTCTTGAGATTTTTCTCCTTTATTTCCAGCTTTTGTTCTAGTTAGTCTATGTCTCTGCAACTGGGAAGTGCTCTCAGAGGAAAAGTTATGTAAAAATAGAGCTCACCCAGTATAAGGGTCCAATTCCCTTTCTAGTTTCTAGTTTCTTCTATCACTCTCAAGTACAGTCAAATAGTTTATTCTATATTTTTCTGAGAGTTTATAATTGTCATAAATGTAAGGATTAACAAAACACAGGGTTTTAAAAAATCATTACTAGTACCAAAAAGGAGAGGAGTGAAGAGGCTTTGAGAATCATGTGGCTTTCCTTGATTGCCACGATATTTTACTGATTTATAGAAATTATAAGTATTAGTATATATTGGAATATATAGTTAGGAGCTATTAGAATAATCAAGGTATATATTTATACATATAACTTCGTGCAGTTTTATCTGAAAAGATTGGAATGAGACATCAGGTCCTGTCATTCAATGTAGTATTCTCTCTATTTTATGTGTCTGTAAGAAAGTAAGTGGGTGTGTATGAACTTCATATTTGTGGACACAAATTCATAAGGAACAGTAAAAGGAAATAAATATGAACATAAATAGTCACCGACATATTTTATATGTTACATGTATTATATACTATATTCCTACAAAAAAGTATGCTAGAGAAAAGGAAATGTTAGTAAGAATGTTATGATTACAATGAAGAGAAAATACATTTACAGTACAATCAGTTAGTTCAGTTTAGTAAAAGAAATTGTCTGTATGTCTACTATTTCTAGTCAGTGTGTATGTGCTATGGATAAAATAGAAATAAAACACAGTCCTTATTCTCACGGAATTTATACTTGAGAAGACTAAAGAAATTGACCATATCTCAAAGTGTCATAAAACAGTTGGCTGGAGATCTGGGTGGAGGTTCTCCAAAGAAAAGAGCGAGCTGGATCTCTATATTTAAGGGCTGAAGAACGCAAAAAAATGCCAGAATCTTAATCAGAAGTCTTAGAGGGCCACGCTTTAGGAATAGGGGAAAACCAGAAGACTGGATCTCACTAAAACTGCAACTGGGCCCCAACCTGTCTCAAGCCCTGATTGAACTGGAGTCATCAGTTCCTCACCCTATCTCCTAAGGAAAGGAGAAACCTTATCTGATGGAAAATAATGTTCATTTATACATCGTGTCATGTAAAATAAAAAAGACTAGATAAGCAAAGAGTCAAGAAAATACAACCAATAATCAAGACAAAAAGTAGAACAAACAGATCCATGCATGATTTGGATAACACAGTTCACAAAGATATTAAAGAACTAAGTAATATATTGAAAGCAGAGGAAAATATGGTCAAAGGAGATGAATAGAATGGAAAATTGAAATGTTATGATTTTTCCTGAGTGGTCACAAAACCAAGGAATTGAGCTATGTTTTTAAGAAAATCTAATTTCTGCTCTTAAAGGATAGAACCCAGTCAGTCATGTGTAATTATGGCAGCCACTAAGGCAGTGTTTCTCAAACTTCAGCATGAGGCAGAACCACTTGGAGGTCTTGAATAGCATACGTTGCAGGCTCCATTCCCAGAGTTCCTGTTTCCACAGTTCTGTTGCTGGACCTCAGAATGTGTACTTCTGTAGAGTTCCCAGAGGTTGCAGATACTACTGATATGGGACTATGATTTGAAAACCATCACATTAGAACTGCATAGGCTTCTGCTGCCAATTCTCTGTCATAAACTTGAATCTCTTTTAATCTTGCTTTTAATTAATTCAGTAAAACAGAATCCATGAACAATGATACAAGGGACTGGTGTGATGGAGAATGCCAAAAAGGGAAAGGCCCTAATGAAACTCCCTCAGAAAATTTTTGCAGAAAGTATTTGCCCAGAATGAAAATTTTGACTATTCAATGGTAATAATTACATTCCAGAAAGCGGAGAGAAAAACAACCCAGCCAAAAACACGATATAACTAAATATGCATAGTCTGTGTTCAAAATAATAGATTTCTTTTTCTCTTGGAATTTATTTAATGCAACCTCACTCTCAAGGTAATTTAATTGAAATGGGTTCTGTTATCAGTCAAGTGCGGAGTTGTTCATCCTAACAGTTTACCTGTATTAGATGTAAAACATCCACTTTTCAAAGAAACATTAACCTGAATCCTAAATTTAAAAAATAATAATGTATGTGTGTGTCTATGTAATAATGTTCATTTCATTCTTTTGTAGGACTGCATCAAAACATGTAAACAAGGACCTTGGTAATCTGGAGGAAAATAAAAAGTTAGAAGAAAACAATCACAAAACAGAAGCCTAAGAGAGAAATTGTTCTAGTTGTTGTCCAGGTGAGCAGGCCACATGAGGTTTATAGAAATAATTCTCAGGAAAGTATGAAACATCCTAGGAGGTGAAGGGGAAAGCCTTAACACTGAGTCTTGTAAAATAGGAAGAGAGTTTTTCAAAAGCAAACTTTGGTGATTCAGAAAGTTGTTCTCAAAAGAAGGAATTTCAAGTTTTCCTATCCTCTAAGGAAAAAAAAAATCATTATCTGAATAATTAAAAACAATTTTGAGATTTTAACATTCAATTAGCATTATGTACTCTAATACCCCAAATTTTCCTGAGTGCAAAGAAGCTTAATTTTATAAATTGATATTTTGGTTGGATGAGAGCTGATTCTAAAACTTTAAATTTATTTTTTAAAAAAATTATGAGAATAATCTCAAAATATAAAAATTTTAATCCAAGGATTTAAGATACTTAAAAGTGTCAGAGTATTTATACAGCCATCTCCCAAATCATTTTAATGAAAAGGCTAACATATTTGTGTGTGTATATACACACACACACACACACACACTTTTGTAGATAGTGTGTATATTATATATGTGTGTATGTATATATGTAATTATATATGCACATATATGTATAATGTATATGTTGATGTTGCATATATTTATGTATAATAACTAAATGAGTGTGATTTTTTAAGACAATCTTCAAAAGAGGTATGTTTCCACGATATTGCCACTTGCAATTTGAGCTTTTGCTTTTATTTACATTCTGTTGAGCCAGCCAAACAGGGAACCCATTTGGACAAATTATTTTGTGTGTCCTTGAGAATAACTGTTACTGTAGCTTACTCACCTAAAGTTAAAATCCCCAACTGCCACAGTAAAACTTTGGTTCATTATAAATAAACCCCAAGTCACAATTTGAGTAGGCCACCCGAGTTAATCCCATGGAGAAGATATGGGGCATGGGAAAGAATTGTAATTTGAAAGATGCACACAGGGAAGAAAAATACGATAGTTTAAATGAGACATTTTTAAAATCTGAAAACCAAGATCTCAGACTGATTGGATGAAAGAAGAACTGGATTTCTTCCCCTACTCTGCCTTCCATTAAAAGCCAAGTAGGCAGCATTTGAACCTGTTTTTTTTTTTTTTTTCTGCTTCTCTTTTCTTCATTCCTCGACTTTTCATAAACATAGGTTTTAGCTTCTGTTTTCTTCAAAATTGGAGAGAGTAATTCTTAAAGAAAAATTGAGCTTGAAGACAAAGCCTACAAGAGAGGGTGATTTGAAGGGATAAGTGAACTTTTTGAACTGAAGAGAAAGAGAATGAAATATTTTTCTGAAAAATCTTGTAATCCTCATATGAATTAAGCAATTTTCATACAAATTAAGATTCTCAACAGTTCCAAAAACTTATTTGTAGAGGGCTATGGCAATGCCTGAGATTATAGATGGGTTCAGGGACAATGGAATTTTTTGAAAGGCTTCTATAATGTAATTCCTGTTACTTTTAGTACAAAGCATCTGTTGATGGTGAAAAATGATTGCTATGGTAACTTACTAAATTATGTTTTCTTCATTATTTCAGAGAAAAAACTATATAGGCCAATTGAAGCATGAACGTGGATTGTATTTAAGACATATACAAAGACATTGACAGCAATTCGTGGTTCAAATATTAACAGTTCATTCTACCAAGCTGTCACAGGATTTTAGAGAATTATCTCAAGTCAAACAATGAAATGAAATTACAAACAATAACGCGTTTTGGCAGCCATGATGATAGGTCATTTGTTATGTTTGATTTGATATTTTTTTTCTGTAAATGTCTGCACTGAGGATTTCCTTTTGGTTTGCCTTTTATGTAAATTTTTTACGTAGCTATTTTTATACACTGTAAGCTTTGTTCTGGGAGTTGCTGTTAACCTGATGTATAATGTAATGTTTTTATTTCAATTGTTTATATGGATAATCTGAGCAGGTACATTTCTGATTCTGATTGGTATCAGTAATGTCTCAAACTTTCTCACAAGCGCCCAAATCCCAAAGGTGGCAGCTTGTGAAGGTTGGGGATACACATATTGCCCTATTCCAAAACTGTGATTTTTTTTTTTTATCATGAGATGGGGAGGCAGAGAATCAGACTGATAAGCACCAGATGAGCTGATTTTGTGTATGGACCACCAGAAGACTCTCAGAAGTAAATCACACACACATATGGACACAGATACATAAAAATGGTACTCCCAAACTGACAATGTTGCCTACACTGAAAAAAAAAAGGAACAGAATTTGGGTAGCATTTACCTTTAGAGACACCTGCTAGTAATTATTTTCTGTCAAAAAAAAAAAGAAAAACTACGTATGAGAGACAGTTTGAAAAAATCTTGGATAATATTTCCATTTTCATAGATCATGTTAATCACCGTATTGAAAAATTGGTGTTAAATCCTTTGGGTTATCCACTGCCTTAAAATTATACCTATTTCTTTTAAAAAAAGATATCAGTCAGAATTGGAGATTTTTAACAGTGGTCATTATCAAAGCCGTGTTATTTTCCACAGAATATAGAATATATATTTTTTTCGTGTGTGTTTTTGTTAACTACGCTACAGATATTGAATGCACCTTGAGATAATTTAGTGTTTTTAACTGGTACATAATTTATCAAGCAGTACATAAAAGTGTAATAATAAAATGTCTATGTATCTTTAGTTACATTCAAATTTGTAACTTTATAAACATGTTTTATGCTTGAGGAACTTTTTAGGGTGATAGTATAAATGAAAACTTTTTGAAGTAGACTGGATATGAGCCAATAGCTACTTGTGACTAGACTTTTAAACTTTGCTCTTTCAAGCAGAAGCCTGGTTTCTGGGAGAACATTGCAGTCATTCTTATCCCAGGATTTACATAACTTTATTTAAAAAAAAAAAAATGAACATCAGATTTCCAGGTATAGAAACGAGTTCTTTGGAAGGAAAAGGAAAACTGGTGTTTGTATTTTTAGATTGATGGAATAAAAAATTATGAAGCCAATGAAAAATAAATTGAGGATTAAAGTCAGATGGAGATTAGGAATAATATTTTGCCACTTCTGCATTATTTCAAAACACACATTATAATACATTTGTAAACCATTTACTGTCTGGGCATTAGTGACTCAGTTTAATAAAAGCTTCCTGTAGTGCATTGATATGAATTAAATATATAAAATATTCTATTAAACTCAATGCTTTGTAAAATATTATGAGGAAAAAGAAAATATGTTATTTTGCCTCTAACTTTGATTTATTGAAGTTTTATTTGGCAGAAAAAAAATATTGAATCTTGGTCAATATTTAAACCAAAGTGAAAGGGGAAAAACCAAAGTTCTTTGTTTTGCATGGCCAAGCCATTCTGTTATCTCTGTAAATACTGTGATTTCTTCTTTTTTTCTTTTCTCTTTAGAATTTTGTTGAAGAAATTCTAAAATTTTTAAACGCCTGCTTTCCACAATAAATCATGAACACTAAAATGAAAATACTTCCATATAAATACTTTTTCTTTTTTGCTTTTGGTGTGGGAGATCAAAGGTTCAAAGTCTAACTCCTCAGATATATTTGCAGAAAGAAGCACTGTGACAATAGAGAGGGTTATACTACAATTATTTCTTGGCTTCCACTTGCTATGGTTAACTAAATCCAAAAATAGCTATTAGAACCTAGAGAGCAGAACATTCAAAACTCAGAACTCTGGACTGAAAGCAGATAGTTTGCTGGGAAAAGGGAGAATGGCATTATTACTATTGAATCAATGTCTGGATTAAAAAAAAAAAGAACGCATATTTGTGTAACAGCAGAGATATGCACAGCGAGGCTGAGAAGGAAGATCATGCACAATCCTCAACTTCTGAGGTTACGTCTCTCCAGTTTAACTCTTTGGCAACAGAAGACAGGTTTTGCTGGTTCGAGTTTCACTTTCAATCTGTGTTACAGGAATTGTATGTGGAAATTGATTAACATATCCGTCTATACGTAAAAGATAATAAAACTGAAATATGTCTTCACATATCTCTCATGGCTGTCTGCCTCTTGTCTAAACTAGGATGCTTATGTATAGAAAGTAGTTGTCTTTATTAAAAAGAGTGGAAAACTCATTGTGACTCTCCGTCTCTCTGGAGAGAAAATGCAGCAGAATAAAATTCCCTATGCCTTCCTGTTATGTCAGGTGGGCCACCTTAGCTAGTCCTAGATTTCACCTTTGATTGGTTCTATAATATGTGTGCCTCTGTCTTCAGTGATAGCATCATAATTATTGTGGATGTCCTAGAAACTTAAGTAAGAGGACATTCCTATTTCTTCACTTCTACCACTAACAACACACTATTCAGTTTACCATTTGGAATTACCTAGGCATAAACTTTTATAGAAATTATTTCCCTTCAAAATAAGGTAAAGCCAGCTGTGTACATAAGGAAAAAAGTTAACATTTGTTGCGCCCATACTATGTGTTAAGGCCATCCACATATCTCTTATTTAATCCTTAAGAGTTATAAATAGTATTAAATATCCCCCATCGAATAGCTGAAAACTAACCAGAGAGCTTCTGTAACCCCTAAGTGCACATAAATTCTAAGTTGGTTAGCTGAGTTTCAAACTAGATCTGATTCTAAAGGCCATGCTTCTCCCAGACTATCATAGTTTCCAATCTTCTTTAATAAAGAAATCCTTCTTTTCATAACGTGTAAAATTGTGAAATATTAGTTGACAGATGAACTGGTTATACTATCTATAAAGGATTATTCTAAGATGTTCAAATCATATAATAGGCCAGCATTATATGATTTTTCAATTGTACTTGAACGATTAGATGTTTTATTAGACATTAAATATATGTTATTGTATGTCGTGCGTTTCAAACACATATGTTGGAAAATGCGATATGACATATACATGTGATTTTAAACAAACATGTATTGCTATCATATGCTAAATGCCTATTATGAGATAGGCACTATATTGATGTATTATTTACATCATTTCCTTTGAATTCACTCCACATCCTGCTACAGGAGGCACTGCCTGCATTTTACAGAAGAAGGAAATGTAAATAACTTTGTCTACAATCACAAGCACGGGAGGTGGTTAAGGTAGGATCTGTATGCTCAAGATGCTAAGTCCAACTTCTATTCACTATATTGTTTACCATCCCTGTTACAAGAATATACATTTGTCTGTGCTTGGGGAGGCTATTAAAAAGATTTGCACTGAATAATTTATTTGATCCCCTTAATAACTAATGTAATTTATATTCAAAGAAATATGTGAACCTGCTTTGAAAACAATTATATTAGTATTAGTTATTTTTTATATGTCTAAGAAATCAAATGGAATGACTGCTATTTAAAAAATCAGTATAGTAGATTTGGCTTTGGAAGTATCATACTTTAACAATAAAAAATACTTAAGTTAAATATATGTATACTTCTCATCTAAGCTTCTTAATAAAAAGCATTTTTAAAATGTACTATATTGGAGAAACGAAGTCAGAAAATTGGAGCTCATTTCTTCCTAGCATGCTTTCTTCACCTAGTTATCATCCTTATCCTAATCCAATTTCTTTTTCTTCCCCAAATCTGTCCCTCTCTCACTTTTCCTTATAAACGTTTCTCAAATTTACAAATATTCATTAAAAAACTCCAAAAGCTGATTCCATTCTTGTTAGCTATTTTGTCCCTTTTTATTACCTAGCTCTGGAAAAAGTTTTACCTTGAGATGGCAAAGTAGCTGAATGAATGAAAGAAAATATGTTAAATTATGTGTGTGTGTGTGTGTGTGTGTGTATGTGTGTACATGTTCATACACATATGCGTGAAAGCACATGCACACACATAGACGTTGTGGATTATCTTATCCCCATTTTCCTTATCAGAAAAAAATTTCTTGAAGAACTACAAAATATTTGTTAAATAGGAAGTAGCTCTGGGGTGAAAATATTCATGGTACTTTGATGTGAGGCATTCATAAGTGTAACAAACAGATACAATAGCACATACTAGACTCACTAGTTAATATGAGGTTTATATGAGTAAACCTAATCGTATAAACTCTGTACTACCGGGAAAAAAAATGAGGGCCTCAACATTATAGAGGTTCAAAATAAATTATTAGATTTTTTTGAGAAAACTTGTATTATCAGAGACAGAGGCTAGGTCTCTGTAAGTTACAGCATTTGATAAAATATGCCCTTGGACGCTGACAGCAACTCAGTTTAGACTATTTGTAAAATAATCAAAATTAAATATCAACTTTTCCCATAAATATTTCTTCTGATTGTATTTTCTCAGGTAAGCTATGATAATTTGAACTTCCATTAACAGTTTAAATCAATAGCTTGATTCACATACCATCTGAGATGTTCACTTTCACAGAAATAATAGTAGACATTTGGGCAGCCCTATTCAATTCTTTGAATTCTCGTCATTAAGAAACAAGATTTAGTGAAATAAGATATAGTTACTGTTTTGAAATTTATTCACAGTGCTCTCCCTGGAAAATCTTATTAAGAAAGTGGAATATTTCTATTAAGAAAAGGTTTATGTCTAAGCATTGGAGTAGTTCCTTCAATGCTAAATTGTTACTAAAAACCTAATTTACCCAGAAATCTTGGGCTTCTACATTGTTGGCAATAACAATTAAGGTCCTTTCCATTAGCTTGATTAGAACTGTCCACCAAAGCTTTAAAATAGTCTTTGTACTGTGAGATGAAGAGACATTACCTTATTGTCGAGTCTGATTACAAGAGGTAACATTATTTTTTTAAAAACTTTTTCAGGTTCATTTATAGGAGCAATCTTCTGTGACTTTTTTTTTAATTTAGAGAGCTTTGCTTTACATATATAATAGTTACATACAAGCTGTATAAAAGATAAGTTTTGGGTCACATTGCCAATATCGCAAAAACAACAGACAGACCTTTCCCCACATTCCTAACTGATACAATGTTTTCACAGAACTATGATTAAAAAGTTGCCTGTAGTGACTTTGCTATTCTTTCATTTTTTTGAGTTTAACTTTTCTTAAATGTAATAAAATAAAATTATTAAAATATCAAATATGTGTTTCATAGTTATCATCACAGGACTCATTATATTTTTTGTTGTCCTCATGATAATGGTAATGTATGGAATCAATGTTCAATCAAAAGGTTGCACAGATTTATAAATATTAACGCTGTTATCTTTATGGGATTCCTGCAACATAGATGGAGTTAAATTTACATTGATCCCCTCAGCATTCTAGTCTGGTGATGCTTGGCACTGTGCTGAAGAGACACTGGCAGTAAGGTAGTTTTGTTGGTTCAGCTTCATTATTCTCCACTCTTACTGTTGGAAGTAGAATATGTATGTGTATATAAGTTGGGGATGGGAAATCTGTTTCTCAATTTCTCTTCAAAAATCATTTTTCCAACCATTTGGTCCAATGAGGAAATCATCTGGTTGGGAGCAAAGTCAAATGGTTTTTACCAAAATTGTTCGCAGTGTAATTTAGAAATGAAAGACCAGAATGGAGCAGTAGAGGTTTAGAAAGTTGGATGAGCACAGGGAGCTGTTCAGTTATGATTCAATTCTGCATACCAGCTCAAATTCACAGATTTAAAGCACACATATTTATAATTGCACTTAACTGCACTTTTGCTAAAAGATGACTTTGTGTGATGAAGCATGTCTGCAACAGTTTGCACGGTCTTTGATTTTGTTCTTGACTCATATTTTCTTTTTAGAAGAAGCTGCTACAGCTATGCCACAGTATAGGTCCTTTCCTTTCATGCCCCTCTGTGTATGTTTCAGGAGATACTTTCCAAAGTTAAATGCTTTTACAAAAAGTATCTGTTCATTTCTCTCACGGTCAATTTGTTGCATCAGATGCCCTAATTATTTACCTTTACCTGTCTCCATACCCTTTGCAGTTCTCAAAAAAGGATCAGAGCATACTTCCCCACTCCTTGACACTAGATCCGTCCATATGATTTGCTTTAGCCAATAAAATCATGTGGAAGTGACTGTTTTCGAGTTTGGAGTCTAGGTCTCAAGTGGCCTACCATGTTTCTTCTCGTCCTTTTGTAATTCTGTCATGGGAAGGACAAGCCAAGGAAAACCTATTCAAACCAGGAGGAGGTCGAAGACACATGGAGCAGATCTGCACCAGGCAAGGTGCCTCAGACAAACCCAGTCTCTTAGTCAACCCGTGGTCACACAGGTAAGCCCTGCCAAGATCACCTGAGCCCAATCTACATCAGCTGTCAACCAGATAATCCACAGATATATGGGCTACAATAATAAACGAGTGTTGTTTTAAGCCACCAAGGTTTGAGATTGTTATGCAACAATAGCTAACTGATGTACCTCTTCAGAGGCAATTGAGTTCCTGGTTGGCTTATTAGGTCAGAACAGTATCAAAAATATTGCTTCCACTGAAAAATTGGACATACTTTATTAGAACTGTAATAATTAGACTTTTGTGCTTTTGAAATGTTCCCATCTTCTCTGACCTTTCTGGGATCACCATTCACTACCCAGAGCCCCCAACTCCTCTCTGTGCTGTTAAATATACTTTGGCAACAACATGTACAAATTATTGGTGGTAATACCAGATAGCTGTTTAGAGGTATTTCTTAAATATTTAATCACATGCAAGTCTCTGACAGACTGGGGGCACTGTGTTCTGCCTGACTTTGGTCCACATTTGTCCTTTCTCATTGTTCTGAAAGTTCAGCGTTCAAGACAGGTTCTTATAATTGCTCTCTCTGTACGCCTACATAATTACATGCCAATATCTTTCCTCAAATCAGAAATTATATCCAGGCTAGATATTCTGCTGACACTACATTCCTCACCAAATGTCAGAATCCTTTAAAAATATTCTCAGCTCAATAGGCCTAATTAGATTTTCATTTATTCATGTCATTGGTCATTAGGACAATCATGTAAATCAGCAAGCACTCTGGTGCCCAGGCACTAAACCAGAACATGAATCTAAAAGATCACAAGCAACATCCTAAAAGAAATCAA